ATGACGATAATTGAGAGTACCCAAAAAGAAAAATAAAGACTAGGGGAAAAAAATCATTTCTCGATTATTATAATTTGTGATTGGCTTTTCATTCATGTACCACTTGTTTCTTTCAAACGATGCCATTTCAGTGACTCAAGAATAAATAACATTCTTAAATAGACATCGTTTTTATGATAGCACATAATTGGGCTATTCACCAGAGAGAATAGCACAAAATCTCGTCTCTTAAAAAAGTTTTGCTTTTCATTTGCGAACAATAATCAGTACCATTAGGTAGAACATGATTGTAAATTGATTATTAGCGAATAAATTAACCATTTTGAAAAGTTTTAGTGATGCCTCGGGAGCTCGGGACCATAGAAGAAGGTTGTCTATCATTACTACTAATTAATGAACCCTAGTGAATCAAAGTTTTTAGAGTACTCTTTCAGGTGCCAGTTCAAGAGGAATGATCATTATTAAGCCTTGTCACCAGCGGGACATTTTGCATTTCTAAGAAATGAAATAGTACCAAAATGGCTACACAAAAAAAGAGTAAAAAGGAGAGTGATATATGAGAGCATATATACTGAAATGATTGAAATCAAGATTTCAGGCTGCCACTCATTTCATAATTTATATATCACTGTTGTTAGAGGGTTAACGTTTTATAGCTAGCTCATCGGCATATATGTTTGCTCAATGTTGCTGTTTTTCTGGAGTGTCCATTTGTTGTTGGTTGGCTACACTGTAATAACAACATGATATCATGACATCTACACCTTTTAGAACCAAATGTAGGGCAAATATTGTGATAATGGAAAGATAGGTCATCCGGTTTCCCGGGGTGGTGTTCCATATCTTGTGTGATGCACTAGTGTCGATTAGGATCATCACGCCAAAAAAAAAAAGCCATTCCGTACATTTAGTATGTTTATACAAGGAGAAAAAAACACGATTACAAGTCTTGTTAATTTCACAAACTCAAGGAAATTTAGAATTAATTAAAGGGTTAATGTATGAATTAATATTAAATTTTGTTCAAATTTGTGTCCACCAGAGACAATAGTGTACAAAGAATCTTCATTTTTTAATGTTAATTAGTTGCACCCATTTATCTGTTTTTTATATACTATAAGTAATCAATTTTTCTTTACTACATATATGGTTTACAACTTACAAGTTATCACTGGCCTCGTTAAGCCAAACTCCTTGATTATATAATTCCTTCATATTATTAGCTACATTACACAGCTCAAAGGAAAAAAGATAAGATATGAAGCAAAATACTTTAAAAGGATGAGCGAAAGACGACCTACAGTAGGAGTTTCTCCTTCAATTTAACAGTCAAAACAATATAAAAATGATGCTAATATTAAATCTTAAACTTTTGTTTCCCAATTTTGGATTATTTGCTTATCTCCATGGAAACGTATCTGCTAAAACATCACATCTGATCACAACATTGTTTAAAAAATAATTTATATGCTAAAACGGTTCTAGTCTATTCTAGAGATTATCTTACTTTGTAACAAATTTTTGGAGTATATACGGAGTCAAACTATAATGATGTCACCTTAACAACTACGACAAAACACAAAAATAACTCGTGCATGAAAATATTGGGTAACACTTTGAAAGCAAATAAAATAATACTTGCGTCTTTATCAATACGTGTTGCTTCATAGATAGGGAAAAAACGTTACAACTCATCAATCTACAAGAACATAAGATTCAAATATATTATTATTGGCTTTAAACCTTTTCAATCCGCACTTCTAGAGGGTTTGTTATGGCAAACTTACTCATGAATCTCTCATTTCGTACCCAAGTTTGTCACCCCGGGCTTGCCAAGAGTGATTTACCTCCCACTGTGATTTACAAGTTATTGTAGTGGGCGTAAGTTTACCCATATCTGGTGGGGTTCCCAGCGTTCCCAAAAAAAACTTATTATTATTATTGCATATTGTAAGGTGATTGATGAACGAGACCGTTAACCAAAATATTTAAATTACTTTTATGTCCACCGTGAACTTTTTACCCTGACCTGCATATAATCACATCCCCTTTATATATGTTACCAGTTTTACCACACTATTATTTTCAGTAACAATGATATTTCTATTATGAAATATTTGATTTGATTTGATTGAATGTTCATAATTAACATGTATTATTCTATTCACAATTAAGGAGATATGATTCTGTAATATTTTACATTAATGATAGCTGATTCATTTCCCATAGTTTGATCCCCTACTTCTTGTATAAATAGGGAGTTCATTCATACTTCAGAATACATCTGAATACAAGTCTCTTATCTCTCTCTACTCTCTTGTCTCTCCTCTTTGTTCTTATGCTTAGTTTCATATTAGTAGTCTAGTATTAATTTTATAACACGTTATCGGCGCAAAGACTCTAGCAAAAGAGTTTCTACCACCGCCTGAAGTTGGTGCGTATTGATTTTGAAGGCCTGAAACTTCAATAAATATTTTAATTCTACCATCCCCTGAAGTTGTTGCGTATTGATTTCGAAGGCCTGAAGTCTCAATGAATATTTTAAAAAGTTTTTGTGATCTAAAGCGACGTGACCTCAAAAACTTTCCGGTGCACAAGTCTCTAGCCAACTGAGACGGTTCATCACGGAGTTCAATTCAGTGGCTCAAAATAATGATGATGGGAGAAAAAGGTAAATCATAAATCATGTATATTTGGTTTGCATATGAAGGAAAAATATTTCTTAGTATCAATTCTATTTACTCATATCATACAATTGCGATGCAGTTTTTAAGCTATGTATATGATTGTTGATCATGTGAATGTATAAAATTTATATAAGTTACATATAATTGTGATAGTATCCATGTGTGCAAAGAAAACAAAAATTATTTTTGAAAAAATTAATTTCTTTGATATTTAGATTGCAGGGAAAATACTTTGTTTTATTATCATACGTTTATTAATATTTGTAAAAATACATTATTAGAAAGAAATCTCCTTCTCATATGGTACTTTTTACTTTTATATTCTATTTTACTCATAGTATTACTCATATTTACTAATACAAGTAAAATATATTGCCAATAAAAATATGAAAATCATAAAAGTTGCTCTTAAAGTAGCAATGTTGCAATAGCATATTTATCATATTAAATTGCTTCAATAGTAACATTATCGCAAAATATTTGATGAAATCTTACGAATTGTTTTATTCTCTGAAGTGAGTGGACAGTAAATTATTTTAAAGAAAATTATAAAAATTAAATCTATATTAATTATATATAATATACAATGCTGGCAGTAGCGCCTATCTCTATCAAGGTAGCTTTCTCCATCATGTAATCATTGGCCTTCAGTTAGAGCCTAATCTTCTCCAAGATTTATCCATAGGAACTAATAGACATAAAATGCATTTATCATTCATGGCTAATTCCAAAATTTTGTTAAAATATCCGGTATCAAAGATTTCCATATTGAAACAAAATTGTGCTCTGATGACGATTTTGATCAACGGAGAAAGAATAAGAGATTGTCTCAAATCTGAATACATTTACCATTCATGCAATCAAATAATCCCACAACAAGCTTTCATTTCTTTCACTCCTTTTTAATTCTTTTTATGTTTTCTGACCTCCCACCTCCATTTAGAAAAAATAATCCGTTTTATTGAACTGAGAAAGTACAAGTAAATTACTCCCTCCATTTTTTATATATATATATATCTTTCTAAAAAATTCATCAAAACCAAGAAAATATTAAATAATATAGTTAAAATACAAAAATATTCTTATTTATTGTCCATACAATTCATCACAAACCAATAGAAATTCATTATAAATATTGTTTCATTCCCAATGCAATGGTAACATTAGTAAAAAGGGGTCAAATGTGCCTCGATTTGTGAAAACAATGTATTTAAAAAAATTCACCAAACCCTAAAACGACATATATTTCAAAATGGAGGGAGTATATATATATATATATATATTTTCTTGTTTAGGGTACATAGCCATAAAGATCATGGTGTTTGTTGCATATTCTTTGACGTTTTTATTTGCCATGATTCTGTGTCAGGCATCAGGATCCAATGTGGGAAAACTCAGCAATAATCACAAAAACTCAATACCCTCCCTCTCAAGTCCATAAAGCTACGTGAAATGGTGCTTTTATATGTTTGCCTGATATGTATCAATTTCGTACAAAAATATGTGTAAAAGAACAGAAATTCTCAAAATAATTTGAACATATAAATTTATGCATCACGATCTAATTCCAAGAAAACGTATGAATATATCATCATTTCCTTATTCTTTCTTTACGCATGAAATAGTGAAGAAAGTTGAATTCTAATATCAATCAATGCAAATGGCAGAGCCCAGACGGTGATATAATTGATTGCATCCACATTTACGAACAACCCGCGTTTGATCACCCTCTGCTCAAGAATCATATCATTCAGGTCAATCCTTTTGATCTTATTATACTCCTTGTTCATCAGTATAACAACAATTAAAATTTGGATATTAGAGATCCTGTGATTTTTTGATTGATGGATGAAGTATTACCTTAATAAAGTTTACAATTTGGAATGTTTCAGATGGCCCCAAGTTCTTATACATCCAGAAGGAGTATTGCCTAGTGAGGCAAAACAATAGGAGTATTACCTAAATAAGTTTCCCTAAGCTTTACGGAGACAACAACACAAAACTTATTGTGTATTGGACAGTAAGTCTCAACTTTCAATAACAACAGTAGTATTCGTAGACACCAATTTATACAAACACTGACTTATTTATTTGCGTGATCGGTGCAATTAATTGACACAGAATGATGGTTACAAGTCAACCGGGTGTTACAATTTGCTCTGTCCGGGTTTTGTCCAGACTTCGACACAATTAGTAGCTGGCGGTGTCACTTCACCTGTATCTACTTACCATGGAGACCAATACGAAAAAACTGTAGTTATTTGGAAGGATAGTGTCCAAAATTCATGGTGGTTAAGTATTCAAAACATCACAATGGGATATTGGCCTAATTATCTGTACACATATCTTGCCGATAGCGCTTCGATCATCGAATGGGGTGGGGAGATAATCAACTCACAACCAGATGGTAAACACACCGCGACACAGATGGGAAGTGGCCATTTTGCTGAAGAATTGTACGGAGGAGCTAGCTATTTTAAGAATCTTTAAGTGATTGATGAGTCCAACAATTTAGTTGATCCGGTCCAAGATCAGCTTAGGACATCACCTGATTCCGGTTGCTATAACATTTTGTTGTACAAAAATGATGTCTCTGGATATTACTTTTTGTACGGTGGACCAGGAAGAAACCCTAACTGTCTATGAAGGAAATTCGATTCACGATTTCGAGTTTTATTAGGATCCAAAATAATATGAAAATTGATTGACTTCCTATCTTAATAGTAATTCTTAATTTAATATATGCTACATTCTCAAAAACAAAAACAAAAAAATTGATATATGATATTTATATATTGGCAAAAATTGTAGTATCTAATTAATAGCTAATCTTCTAATCCCGGTTCCATTGCTTTTTGGGTCCGTATTAATTAACGTATTCAAGAAACAAAAGGACTAAATATCCAAATGACCTCTTACATTTGGGCTTACTTGAATTTAGTCCCTAACTTAACATTTCAATACCGTAATCTCAAATATTATGTTTTCACACTTTTTTTAGACCCATTTTACTGTTTCGACAACTTTTCCGTCTAGCTCGATGTTGACTGGCAGTTGACATGTCAAAATCGGGGATTTCACTCCTATCAAGTGTCCTCGTTGATGGCAGGGTTCGCGGCCTCGTTGGTGATGTTAGTGGCTTTGTTGTGCATCGTTCAAGAAAATTTAATCAACATAAATCGATTTATTAGATTTATAAATTGGGACTTTTATATGATAATTAGTGATATATTCGTAACCAGATCTAGACTCCGGTACGTGAATGTCCAGCGTTGACTAGAATAGATCTATGGAGATTTATCAAACACAACAGTGTGATTGTAATAGAAGATGTAATAGAAGTTGTGAATTGTGTTTTAAACTGTTTCTTTGTAATGTAAAATGCAGTTGAACAATTTCCAACAAATTAATGAAAGAGCAATGATACGTACATGAAAAATTTACAAGGAAAACTTACAAGGAATGAGTTGTCAATCATCTAAACTATGCCCTAAGTTTAAATGCTTAAACCCCAAATGGAAAGTGTTAAAATGAATGGTTATGATCAATTCCTAGTTATTTTTCCTTGTCATTTTTTCTCTGTACGAATCATTATCCTTAATGAAAGAGCAATGATACGTACAGGGAAAATTTATAAGGAAAACTTACAAGGAATGAATCGTCAATCATCTAAACCATACCCTAAACTTAAGTGCTTAAACCTAAAATAGAAAGTGTTAAAAATGAATAGTTATGATCAATTCCTTGTTATTTTTCCTTGTCATAGAAAAAAAATTCCAATCAAAAGAACAGATGAGGAGAATCTCAGATATGGAAAGAAGAAGCCCACTCAACTAGTCTCGCCGAATGACCTACTTGGTCCATTTCCCCACGAGGTACGTACATAGCCGAAATCGGTATACTTCTTCTGTCTCAAAATTATTATCATATTTGTATTTTAATTTTAGTTTAATTTGTACTAAATAAAATCTAAATTGGACAATAATTTTGGGATGAATGAAATATTATATTTCTAACGACCCATTATTTCTTTTTGATTTTCTTCTTTTTCTTTTCTTTTTGGTTGGGCCAACCCGATATAACATTCCTACACATATGTGAAAGGGTCCAAGTACAATGGAGCGATAGCGATCTTGAACGTGTGACAACCTCAAGTTCAGAATCCTGGTGAATTCAGCTTGGCTCAAATTTGGGTTGTAGCTGGTCCGGCCGACGATCTCGAAACTGTTGAAGCTGGTTGGCATTACAAACACATGACCATTTTTCCCTTTCTTTTAACACAATAAATTTTTTCTTGCATACTGTACTACATTTGCTGAATTGCTGAATTTTTGTTCCATTTTCCTTTTTAATCAGGTGTACCCAAATTTATACAAAGATTACAACCCAAGACTTTTTATACAAAGATAAAGTGATGACTTTATCATCGGAGTATTGTACAAAATGCTTGATTATTTTTATTTGGTAAGAGCCTAAAAAAATACTCTCAATGTGCTAAAATTATTGTCTAACTTGGATTCTTACTTTTAATTCAATTTGTAATAATAATAAAAATTTAGAGTGTACAATAATTAGGAGACGGAGTGGTAAGACTTTAGTCAAGTTAGAGTTAAGTATTTCTAATGATGAAATACAAAAAAAAAAAAAAGGATGGAAAATTTTTAACTGTGCACATGGTTTTAAGTTTGTCTTACGTAAACAATATTATTATTATTACTACAAATCTTGTATCTATTGAACTAGATAGATCCCGTGTAATCACGGGTTCCCTACTGATTTTTTTGTGTGTATCAACGATGCTATTGATAAAAGTAATGGAATTAAATATATAAAAAAAATATGAAAATATAATATTTTTACTTGATGAGCAATGTTATTAGTATATAAAACTATTACTCCTTCCGTTCCAAAAAAAAGTCCACATTGAGTTTTCAAATTTGTATTAAAAACAATACAAACTTAAAACTCAATGTAGACTATTTTTGTAGGACGGAGGGAGTATTTGTTATTTATTGTTACTAATTAACATAAATTATTTATTGGATCCTTATTGCTATAGAATGGAGAAGAGAGGAAAAAATACGGGTGAGGAGTTAGGCTTGGAATGGAATAAAAAGAAAATGTATGTTTTATAAAATATTTTCTAAACACGCATTTATTTTTCTAGAAAGGATGAAAATCGATGCGATGCATTAAAACAATGTTACATGAGGTGTTCAATCAAGGAAAAGGGGTTTCAAAAAGATAAGGAAAAAGTAAAAAATTTGACACATCAGTCATCCAAAATCCATGGAGGTAAAATAGAAAAATAAAATTAATTCTAAATTACCAGAAAATGACACATCAGCAAAAGGGGATGAAATGAGCGGGAAAAGGGTATAATAGACTTTTTTAAGGGGTTCTGTTTTAATTATATAGAATGATTTCCAATTTACATAATGACGCTTACCAGAAACAAGAGTGTTACAATTTGCTATGTCCCGGCTTTGTTCAGACTTCTAGCCAAGCAACACTTGGTGGTACGATCGTAACTATATCGACTTACCATGACACCCAAATTAAGGTGTCCTTTGTTATTTGAAAGGCAAGTAAATTTCATAATCAAAAACTTATTACTTATGTCAATTAGTTTCATTTCATTGGGAAATTTTTCTTATTCATGTACTTTCTTCATTCCACCATCTATTATGTAAAATGCCAATTGAAATTGCAGGATTCAGGAACACAAGTATGGTGGTTAAGCGTTCAGACCGTGACAATCGGGTACTAGCCTAATTATAAGTACATTAATTACCTTTCTGATAATGCTTCAGTTATTGAATGTGGCGGTGAAATAATCAACAGTAAACCAGATGGGCAACACACCACGACACAAATGGGGAGCGGCCATTTCGCTGCAGAAAGATTTGGAGGGGCCAGCTATTTCAAAAGGCTTCAAGTCATCGATGAATCCGACATTGTGATTCCTCCAGTTCAAAGTCAGCTCAGAACGGTGTCGGAAGCTCCCGGTTGCTACAACATATCATTCTTCAAAAATGATGTCTCCGGTTATTACTTTTGTTTGGAGGTCTAGGAAGAAACTGTAACTGTCCATGAAGACAATGTGATTTGTTTTTGTTTGTTTGTTTGTTTTTTTTTTGTGCATTATAATAGTTCCAGAAGAGAATATGAAACTTGATATTCTGCATATGTCAAAATTTGATGTCCGTACTGTAACCTAATTAAATTAGTCAATTATCTTGTTACTCCTCTTACTTTTTTCTTTGGACAAACACTAAAAAACCCTTTTTTTTCACCTTAAAAAAAAAATAACAAGTTGGTGTAATGCGATCATAAATGGACCATTGAGGATTATGCCAAACTATGATGATCATTATATTGATTTGATTCATCTAATGGTTGGCTTGAATCTTTATTTTGTTGGCCTTAAAATGATAGAAGATTAAAACAAAAATTAAAGAAATTTTATCAAAAGAGGTTTTGTCAGCTTGCTCATCTACTTTTTCATCCCGACGAGAAAGTCGACGCTAGTTTTCTATTTTTACTATTTTTCCATTTTGAGTTAAAAATTGATTTTAGGTAATTTTTATTTAATAATTTTCGTCCACATATATCTATGGCTGATTTAGGAGTGTTTTTAAATTGTAACATGTATAATTACTAGTGTCGTTGGTTGTCTTAGCATTGTATAGCATTGTATGGAAGTGTATAATTATCATATGGTTGATTTGGAAAATTTCACAACGAGTTAAAGATATTTTCCAGAAGAAATGCCAGTAAGTAAAACAAACTAAATAACTCAATTGTGGTAATTAAAGAGAAGCTGGCCAGAGGGAACTATTCCTATTAGAAGATCAAATGAAGAGGAACTCAAATTTGCAAAGAAACAACCCACTCAATTGATCTCACCTAATGCCCCCCTATCAAGCGCACACGAGGTAATGTCGCATGCCCATAAGTAGAAATTATTTCATTTCGTACTATATTTGATGTCGATAATGGACATGAGATTATTAGCAAATATTATTTGTGATAATGCCTTGACAGGCTAACATATTTTTTTCGGAAGTTTCTTTGGCGACATTGTTGCAATCAGTTGCATATGTGCAAGGCTCTAAACACCTTTTGTGGTTGACTTCATATACTTACATTAATTTTCAGTCATGGAGAACCCTTTTAAAAATTGACTAACCGAGATATTTTTTATATTTTTTAAAATATTAAGATAATTTAGATAATCAGATAAATCTAGGGGATGTTTTTTGATATTAACCCAAACAAGAGTATTATTACCTTAGAAAGAAACTTTTCACCCAACCAGGCAAATAGATTATTTACCTTATTACATTACTATTTTTCCATGCGTTCTTAACTCCGACCAAACGTTCACGAATACCTTATCGCCACCGCGGCGCCACCGTCCCTCCGCCGCTCTCCAAGTTCTCTGTTTTTCCTTTTCCTAACACTGTATTCTCTCTCTAGGTTTTCCATTTGGCATGACCGCCCAGCGCCGGCCCTTTTTCCGCCAGGGTAAGCCATGTTTATCTCCTGGATCTGCAAATCTGTCGAGAAATTCGTCAAAATTTTTCTCGGCTGTTTTTCTGAATGTGTCAACCTTTTGTGTTTGTCTACTGCAAAATTTATCTGTGACTTGCAATTATTATTCGGTACACTTTTCAAACTGCTATTCATGTTGATCGGTACGCGATTCAGTTCACCTGCTTGAAAAGAGGCAGAAATAAAAAATTGTTGTGTGGTCCCATATGGTGTATTGGTTTGAAAGATAAACGCCTTTCTTCGTGTCAACTACAATTTCTCTTAGGTTCCTTTAGATTTAGCTTATGAGCAGAAACAGCTGTGTTAAATTACAGTCTTTTGTGATTTTCTCTTCTCGATCTTCTTTATTGAATGACTCAGTTTAGACTCCTTTTGTGATTAGAGTTTTTGTGTTGCTCCAGTTTAGGATTGGTTGCTGTGGAGACCTTTCTTTAGGGGGTTTGAATTTTGTTGAGGTCCAATATGTACTCTCTTTTCCTTACACTATAGTTCTCAAAATACAATTTATCTAAGACTTTGCTTTGTCTTCTTTGGCATTCCTTTGTTGAATACTTGAAAAGGAGCAACAAGCACCGGGGAATAATAGCACCGGAACTATGACAGAAATGAGAAAAGACCAACTGAGTTACACGAACTGCTACTGTCCTTCATTTTAACATCAGGCTTTTAATCCTGTTCAGAGCAAGAAGAAAATGGTAAGCTTACCTTAAGTGCTAGCTATGACTCTAACTCATTCTGATCATACATACCATCGCATAGCATCGTTTATGATTACTTAAGTTCTTATTGTGTTTTGTTATGGTGATGATAGTATGTAAGGATAAGGCATCTAAGCAAACAGTAATCTTTGTGTCTACTTTTCTATTGTGTTTGTAAAGAGCAGATAAGCCGAATTTGGGTCAGGACTATAAAAAATAAAAAATCAAACATTATCGAACCTGCTTACAATTATCTGGTCTTATTTTGATATAAAGCTTATTCATAGTGTATTGGTTCTGTCCTAAAGCAGTAGTCTAGTTTGTAATGCTATAGTATATCCACTAGAAAAACTCTTATTTGACACGATGGTTTTTGTGTTTTTATCTTGATGTAGGCAGTGTGTGATTTTCACCTCACATCATCCATACCAACTCCCAAGTATCTTATGCGAAATTGACATGGTGTTTTTTGTTTTTTTTTTGGCTTCCGATGAATTCTTCCTTGCAAGTAATTTTTAGTAATTCAATTTTGCAGGTTTTATCGGAAGATTCTGCTGGTGACTTGGGTGGTGACGGTATTGATTACAGTGGACATTTTGCCACTTCAAATATGTTTAAGACTGATTTAGAAGCAATTGCTTGGGCCAGAAAAATTGCCAATGGAATTGGTTTCGATTTAATTATTTCCTCGCACAAACAGAGCGGTAAGAAGAAACTGCTCAAATGCTCCCGTGGTACACGGTACAGAGGGATTAAGAGAGATCTCAACTCCGCTGTGCGAAAGAACACGAAGACAAAAAAGTGTAACTGTACCTTTGAGATAATAGTCCAACAATTTCAAGGGTCTGGCAGTTGGGGAATTCATGTATCGTCTGGAAGTAAGGGTATGCACAACCATCCTTTGGCTGTTTATCCGAAGGGGTATCGACAGATGATCGGACTTAGTGCTGCATCCAAAAAAATTGTGCGAGAAATGACTTTGGCTCAAGCAAAGCCAATTGCTATTTTGGCAGCTATTCAGGAACAACATCCAGAGGACAATGCTAACATAAAACACGTTTACAATTATAAAAATCGTTTGCGGAAGGTTGGTATTTGAGGGTCGAGTTTGGATTTTTTTTTTTTTTTTCACCAAGACATGGAAACTATGTAGCTGCGGGAACCTGAGTTCAGAATCCTTGGAATGTCTCAGATTTGGGTTTTGGCCCGGGGGAGGGGGGGGGGGGCTACTTTCTTACTTATTTGCGACATCGATTATTATGTTTGTTAGGTTGCCATTAAACTGAAATAAGATTCTAAGGCAAAAGGAAACTTGAAGCTACTTTACTTATTTTTACCCTAATTCTTTTGTTTGTTTGGGACTATTAATTTTCAGTTTGAGGGGTTGGAAGATGAGCTGGCGTCTCCTTCAGAGTTTACTGGAGTTACTGTTGAAGAATTGCTGTCGGAGGCTTCTTCTCAGCTTAGAGTAAGTTGCCATTAAATTGAATTAAGGTTCTAGGGCAAAAGGAAACTTGAGGCCCATTTACTTGTTTTTCCCTAATTTTTTGTTTGTTTGGGATTATTAATTTTCAGGATATGGGGTCGGGAGATAAACTGGCATCTCCTTTGGAGTTTACTGAAGTTGCTGTTGAAGACTTGTTGTCTGAGGCATCTTCCAAGCTCAAGGAAGGAGGTTCTGTTGAGGTTAGTGATTCAAGGAATACATGTTCTATTCTTTCTGTAATAATGTCATTTGAGATTAAACCACTGGATGACAAATCTTATTTATCTAGGAGTAGAGCTCCTCGAGTGTTATTCTGTTGTTAATTTTGCTTGAATCTTTGAATCCTATCTATTGTAGGACAAAGATGCAATTATTGAAAGGCTGGGAAAATGTGTCAAGTGGCAAGCCTCCAAGATCAGGAAGCTAGAGGAAGTTGCGAAACAGTCGCATCAGACAATCCTGGAAGTTCTGAAGAAGAACGAGGCAATGATTGAGAGGGTAATGCAATTAGATTTATACACTGATAGATGTAGTTTCCATAAATATGCTGAGTATTGTACTTAATCATTTTCTGAATGAATAATGTTTCAATTGTTTCTGTACAGGCCTGTCATGAGTGAGAGTGCTTCAACAGTTAGGTGAAAAGCTTATGTGAGGAGTTGTATGAAGAGCTTTTGTTAACTAGCCTCTCATTGGCAATCTATAGTACTAGGGAATTAAAGATAAGTGCGTAAATATTGTCGGCAGGAACTATTTTCGGCCTGACAAAAGGATTTTACGATATACCATATTATTATAACATAAATGGGGTGAAATAGTAATAATAATATTAAAAGATGACGTCGAAGATCAACAGCGCCTTAAGCTGACCAGGATTGCACGGCATAATTTACCAAAAAAATGTAAATCGAAACTCTGTTGAAGAGTCTTATGCTATTTGCCTGTATTGTCAATTAGTTAAATCAACCTGAGTTAATTAAAAAGTACTCTCTCTGTTTCAAAATTATTGTCCAGTTTGAGATTTCACTTTTAGTACAATTTGGACTAATAATGAAAATTTAAATTGGATAATAATTAAAAAAGTAATAATTTTAGTGTCGAGTGTAATTGCATCCTCATGGTTCCTTGACATTGAATAAAAAATGTTTACCGTTCATGGTGGAAGATTTTTTAATCGACCTTTTACATTTATATAGTAACAGAGAAGCAATATTGCTTGGTATTTCTCGATGTAGCTAAAAGCCTAAAACCACCTCAACAAATTACAAATGAACAGGAAAATGAGAAAGCAATTGACTACTCGAACAGTTTGACTTTTCCAATTGCAGTGTATATATTGGGTTGGTGCCCCCTGCCTACACGCTATGATAACATCCTAATTTAACTTGGTGAAGAATCAAAATAAAATGGCATGCAAATATTCTAAATCAAAAGTTAATTTCGTTCTCTTTTTTTCCTTATTTGGATCTCACAATCAATTTCCCCTCGAAGTATGGGAAATACATATCGTACTCCATTGTTTTCAAACTTTTTATCTTATATATTCTTTCCATTTTATTAAATTTTATTTTTCTTTCACAAAAACAAAAAAAAGAAAAAAGAAAAAAAAAGAAAAAGAAGAGGCTCCCTATGCATATGCTTCTGATTAACAAATTGAAAACCATGAAATTGGGTGCATATTTAATCATGTTCTACGTCGTTGTGACACTGCGCGATGCATCAAGATCAGCCTTGGTCACTTCAAAAAGGATCCGTCAAGTCCATATTTGTACGTATCACATTACATGTTCTACGTTCTTATTAAGGGTCATTAATCATTTATTAACTTGATGCACATATTTATTGGTTGCTCGAAATGATAAGAGTCCCGATGGAGATACAATCGATTGTATCAATATGTATGAGCAACCCGCATTCGATCACCCTTTGCTCAAAAATCATGTCATTCAGGTTCGTGTTTCAATGATTTGATTTGATCTTCGTCTTACTTTTTGCTCGTTACTTGTGCATTATGATAGCAATGGAATTACACACTTTGGAATAATTTCAGATGAGTCCAAGTTATTATCCAGAAGGAGCTAGTAGTAGTAGCAATGAAAAACAAATTACTCAAGTATGGCAATTAAATGGAAGCTGCCCTGAAGGAACTATTCCCATTAGAAGAGCCAGTGAAGAGGAGCACAAACATGGAAAGAAGCAGCTCACTCAACTCATCTCACCTCATGGGCCAACTGGGGAAAGTGCCCACGAGGTATGGGGTTAGCCCAGATCTAAAATTATTTTCTTCAGCCCACATTTGGACTTACTATCCTTAATTTCTTATTTTCTCCTACGCAATATATGTAGCATTCCGTTGCGATTGTGCAAGGCGGCAAATACCATGGAGCACGCGAAGCTAAACGTGTGGCAACCCAAAGTCGACTATCCTGATGAATTCAGCTTGGCCCAAATTTGGCTTCTGGCCGGTCCGGTCTCCGACGTTAACACCATTGAATCTGGTTGGACGGTACATTATTATTATTATATTTCTTCTGCCAAAATTATTGTCCAATTTCAAATTTCACTTTTAGTACAACTGAAAATGAAAACTCTATACTTTTTGGGACAGAAGGAGTAATACTTTTAAAAATGAATTCGAAAACACATGAATTTTTCTTTCACTTCTAAGTCTTCAGAACACCACAATAGGATATTGGCCTGATTCTCTATTCACTGATCTTGCGGATAGTGCTTCGGCCATCGAATGGGGCGGAGAAATAATCAACACTAAACCAAATGGGCAACACACCACAACACAAATGAGAAGTGGCCATTTTGGTGCAGAAGGATTTGGAGGGGCTAGTTATTTTAAGAATCTTCAGGTGAAAATCAGATCAAGACAACCTCTGAAACCCCGTCTTCCTACGACATTACTCTGTCGAGAAATGATGAATCTGGATACAACTTCTTCTTTGGTGGACCGGGAAGAAATCCTAATTGTCCATAAAAAAAAAATAGTACCAATTTCAGACCAGTTGGATACATTCTAGCTAGGATGCAAGAACTCTCACTTGTGCGTGTGAGTCTTCGAGAATTTTAATAATTATCTCACTAATTTTAATAATTACACACCATCTTAATAAGTACTTCCTCCGTCCTATAATTATTATCCAGTTTGAATTTTTATTTTTAGTTCAAATTGTACTAAAAATAAAATCTCAAACTGGAGAATAATTTTGGGACACAGAGGGAATAGTTAAATTGTTAGGGGCAAAAAAACAATGGTTAAGGATTTTTCTGTTTCTCCATGCTCCATCCTCCCTCTCATTTATCCCTAAGGTATCAGTGTATCACATAAGGCCTGTGAATGGTGGGTTTTACAGCAAGATGGCATCACTTTAGCACAGAGCAATGAAGAATATCCCACAGGCATGTGATGTGAACCATATTAATGTCCTGATTCTTTTTCTTTTTCTTTGAGACGGAGATTATTCCCATCAATCATACAACTCTCTTTTACACTCAGCTTTGACTTTAATTTACATATATGCAGCAGTTGCTTATGAAAATGCGCTACAAATGGTCAACTGATTACATAATCTCGCATGCCCCCTTCAAAAAATAAGTATATTAATACCACTCACAGAGTAATCATGCAAGGTAGATCTAATTAAAATTGAAACGATTATTTAGTTTGAAATTTCCGTTATAGCATAAATTGTACTGAAAATGAAAATTTAAATTAGACAATAATTTTGTGACGGAATGATTAACTTATTTATTACACGTATAATACTCTGTAGTCTCTATCTATATTTTATCCACAAAAAAAAAAGAATCATATTTATTTTGGTTTTAGCAAACAGGGCGGAATTAGAAATGAGACAACAAATGAAGAAATCATTTGGGACATTTGATGATGAAGTCCCTTGTTATTTGATCAAACGCAATCATCAAACGCAATTCAACATGGCATTTGGGGATCAATATGTCCCGTGAGAAAAATGAAAAGAAGACGGTGATAAATATTGATAAGGGTGTTGAAAAAATAAGGAGAAGAAGAATAATGGATTGGAAAAGACAGGCTCTTGTTCACAAGCCTCTAAAATCTAGATTGAGGATGGTGTGGATAAGATAAGGCCATCGTAATCCAAAAATCTCTTCATTGCAATCACAAATAAGGTTTGATTGATTCTACATTGAAAAAAAAAAAAAAAAAAAACCAAACCCTTCATGGACAAAGTATGTCTTCACCCTCCGCATTTGAGCATTTTCTCAAACACACCAATCATGTCCAATTTGTAGGCCATGCCCTCAATTAATAGTGCAACACCTTAGATCACAACCTTTATTTATTTATTTTTAATCGGCTAATCGGCAATTACTTTTGAGTTATTTCTTAAGTCATTCACAGCCCAATCTAATTTGTTTGTTTGCCCTTAACTTATTCATTGCCGTTACTACATAGGAATATTAATATCTAATGGAAATACCAAAGCTAGAAAACATCATCATTGTCACTTGTTTGATATTTTCAAGTAAGAGGACCAGATTTGCTTCTCTCCCAATTCTTTATTTTGCGCAACAAATCAATAAAAAAAAATTTGAGCAATCATCTGACATTCTGATTTATATGGTTAAATTCGGTAACGAACAAGTTATAAAAAGCTAAAATCTTCAATGATCCTCCTACCAATAATGTCTCTAATTATATTATATATGATGATTAGATACTGATGAAAGCCCAAATTCTGTTGAAGAAAACAACGTTAATAATACTATTTTTTAACAGAAGGCCTTCCAAAAACAACTATCAGAACAAATAAAAGCAAAATGGATATTTTTCAACTTTGGAAAGAAAACTGAGGAGAATAAAAATCACCCAAATTAATATGAACCGTTCATTCCTCACAAGCCTCATCTTCCCAACCCCGCGCAAATTAACCCCCCATTGGCGCATTTTAGTCTGCCCTTCACTTCCCCCATCATCAAACTGTACTATAACCCTGTTACGATCACAATTCTTTAGCAAATTCTCATTCCCTACTTTCTCTCTCTAAAACTCCCATGGAGTCCCGTGTACTCTCCGGCTCCACCACCCTTCACGGCCTTCCGCCGCTAAGGCGGCGGCTCAGCACTTCCGCCCCTGCCGCCTCCTTCTCAACTATCAGTCGACCTATCGGCACTGTCGGAGACGGCGGGAACTTGATTTGGGGCAGGCAACTCAGGCCGGCTATCCTTCTCGAAGCTTCTCCGGTGCACCCCTTATCGCCGGTGACGAAGAGGGAGACACGCCTCCGTCCTTGTCCTGCCGCTGCTTCTTCTCCGGCTGGAGGCAGCGAATCCGCCGGGTGAGGTCCGTTAAGCCCGACCCGTTTCCGTATGTTTGGTGGATTTTCTGTTTTTTCTGACCCGATTTTTCGTCGGCGCTATTTTTCAGGGATGCCGAGGTGGGATTCTTGGAGAAATACCCGGCTCTGGTCACCGGGTTTTTCTTCTTCATGTGGTACGCCTTCTTGTCTAACACGCGCCGTCTACCCGCGCAATTTTTTAACTGTCAACAGTTGGACGTCTGAAATGACTGATTTAGCCCCCTTTCTTTTTTTTTTTTTTTTTTTTTTTTGACTTTGCAGGTATTTCTTGAACGTGATCTTCAATATCCTCAACAAGAAGATCTATAACTACTTCCCTTATCCTTAGTAAGTTCGTTTTTCCCGTATGTTTTTCTACTGAATTGGAAGTAATTAATTAATTTTTGTGTGTAATTTTTTTTGATGCTTATTTTGATTGTTTTCTTTGTGCTGTGAACAGTTTTGTGTCGGTTATACATTTGTTTGTTGGAGTTGCGTACTGCTTAGTGAGCTGGGCTGTGGGACTTCCTAAAAGAGCTGTAAGTACTGTTCTCATCTTTTTTGGTTTTTTTTACTACTATTGTGGTTTTGGTCATTCTCATTTTATTGTTATAGTGATTAACGTGACATATAGTTAATGAGAAACGTACTTGAAAATCATTCCGAATCGCAAACCGATCATCTGTGTATAACAACTTCCATGTTATTCTGGTCTTTGTTGCTGTTGTTGAAATTTCTAGTGAATATAAATTTTACATTCATTGATCGTACCCTGACTGCATCCTGAAATTCTTATGAACACTTCCTTTTTCTCCCCTTAACAACTTTTAATGTATCTGCATTGGGATAGATAACTAAATTTTGATTGCTAAGGGACTTCTTGGGAAACTAAGCAGTTTACTGATCCTGGGAATAGTCCTGGCAGGACGCATTTATGTTGAAGATTGGTCAATGTTTGTGTCTACATTGATCACACATTTACCTGGAACTTGGGCAACTAACATTTAGTAATTTGGGATCTTACAGTTTTCGAGGTGGATTGTATAATTTAGACCTTAGTCATACTTCCTGAACTATACCCTCCTTTATTTTAAGCAGAAGAATTCTTGTGCTGAGTACAAGGGATGCGGTTTCTTATATTATGATTTGCATGATCAATGTTGAAATGCTGGACAGATCCTAAAGTCTTAGAGCCAAAACAAATCATAGCTTGATTACGTGCATTTCTGTGTTGAAATGCTGGACAGATCCTAAAGTCTTAGAGCCAAAACAAATCATAGCTTGATTACGTGCATTTCTGTGTATTTATCTTTCTTGCATATAACTTTTTATAAACAACTGATATGGGCTACTTCTGTGTGCAGCCTATCGATGGAAACCTCCTGAAACTTCTCATTCCAGTGGCTGTTTGTCATGGGATTGGCCACATAACCAGCAATGTCTCATTTGCAACTGTTGCCGTGTCATTCACCCATACAATCAAAGGTCACATCTTGTGATATAGAGTTTTGCTTGTCTTGTCCTGTCAGTTACATCCTTCTCCAAACTCTTTTCTTATTAATCCTTTTCTTTTGTGTTTTTTTTTTGGATCAGCACTTGAGCCTTTCTTCAATGCTGCTGCTTCGCAGTTCATACTCGGACAACAGATCCCACTAGCACTTTGGCTGTCATTGGCTCCAGTAGTTCTTGGTAGGTTTTTTCTCCCAAAGGTTTTCATGGATTCATTTGTTAGTATCAAAACCAGAAATGATAAGTTGTACTTTATATGTGCATGCTTGCTGAAAGGGATCTTTCATCACCTTTATGTTGTTTGTGAACAATGATGTTGACTAATCAAGAAATTGTTAGAAACTAAATTTTTCTCTTTATTTACCATTTTTTTTTCTCTCTTTCAGTATTTAGCCTGCAGCTATATCGGGTTTTCTTATGACCTCATAATAGAAGTTTTTACTCGCTGCAGGTGTGTCAATGGCATCACTAACTGAGCTTTCTTTCAACTGGACTGGGTTCATCAGTGCCATGATTTCAAATATTTCCTTCACCTATAGGAGCATATACTCAAAGAAAGCTATGGTCATGCACTGTGATATTCTAGTCCTATTTGAGTTATCCCTGAAGTCACTTGCTAGTGAAGCAGGGAGCTCCTGGTGCTTTTCCCTCAGTTTGATTGGCTAATTATTAACTTCATTTTTGCAGACTGATATGGACAGCACTAATCTGTATGCTTATATTTCGATCATTGCTCTCATTGTCTGCATTCCACCTGCCGTAATTGTGAGTTTTGTTTGGTATAATTTCAGGCTGATCTATATCTCTCATGCACCTCTATTGTGTTTTCTTGTCTCATTTAACTTATGTAACTATGAAACAGCTTGAGGGACCTGCACTTTTGAATGGTGGTTTCACTGATGCAATCGCCAAAGTGGGAATGACAAAGTTCATCTCAGATCTCTTCTGGGTGGGTATGTTTTACCACCTCTACAATCAGGTATGCTTTAGGAAATTTAATTTATTCCGTAGAATTTACATTTTTAATAAAAATGGCTTCCTAATTCTTTTTATGATTATGAGGTTGAACGTATTGCTTCCCCCTTCTCTTTCAGATAGCAACAAACACACTTGAGAGAGTGGCTCCCCTTACTCATGCAGTTGGAAATGTGCTGAAACGTGTGTTTGTGATTGGGTTCTCAATCTTGGTCTTCGGTGAGCAACTCAATTTACCTGCACAGTTGGTGTATATCAATTATCTTCTGAACTGAATTATATTACTAACCTACAATAAACTACACTTTTCAGGCAACAAGATTTCCACGCAAACCGGTATCGGAACAGCCATTGCTATTGCTGGAGTTGCAATTTACTCGTACATTAAGGCCAAGATGGAAGAGGAGAAGCGAGTAAGTTATAACTGATCCTTGCATGATAGAAATGTCGGATTGACTTCTTAGTTCATCGTGATGAAGCAATTAACCCTTTTTGAAGTCTAAATAATTACAGCTATATACAACTCCTGTCTGAAAATACAAGTCGTATTTCTATGTTATCCTTAGTACCTGCAACCTAAACCTTAATGTCTTCAATAACATGATCTCATTCAGTATTTACATGTAAAAATTGAAGATAACATAAGAAGCAGCTTATTTTGTGCACAGTATTCTGCATAAACTGGAAGGATGAAGATTGTCGAAAGATAAACTTTTATTCTGTAACAAATGGGATGCTACTTAATGTCCTGAATCTCTTTTTGATATATTTCTTTGCTGTCTTCTTTTTGGGTTTAACTTTCCAGAGAGGCAAAGCAGCTTGAGGGCCAATTTATGGCCTTGGTACTTGGTGAAGATGAGAATGGGGATAAGAGAAAGTCTTGTTGTAGATTTGGGAATTTTCTATATTCTGGGAATATAATTGTTAAAAGTTTCTATCCATCTATATCATTGTGTAGTTAGACTCTTCAATAAACTACTACTGTACTATCTCTATTGGTTCATCCAAAATATTGCTGATTCCTTCCTGTGAACTGGAATAATTTGTTATGCTCCTTGTTACCTACATCTTGATAACAAGAAGCCCGGCATAAGAAGCCAGAATTCGTGAACATTGTTTTGTGAATAGAGAGCATTTGTTATCTTTCAAATCATGTTGTAATGTTGCACTATGAAAGCACAAATGTGGTGATTTTAGTTGATCCTGCATGGAGTTAAGTGTGCATTTTGGGTGCGAGCTTGTCCTAATGAAATTATCACATATCGGCTTTAGTCTTTATAAATACTTATGTAAATAAAAAAATACTCCCTCTGTCCTAAAATTATTGTCCAGTTTAAGTTTTCATTTTTAGTTTGAATTATGCTAAATGTGAAATCTCAAATTAGACAATAATTTTGGGATAGAGAGAGTATGTGATAGTTTCATTAATAGAAGTATAAAACACTGGAGAATACGCATCGTCTTATATTCATTTGTAGAAAGAGTCACAGAATCACATGGTCTTGTGAGTGATTGATCATCCTCTTCGCGCATTGTTGGATTGATTTAAAAAACATTTAAATAGGCCAATAAGATATCATCAGCCTTTAACCCAAGCGAAACTGAATCCATTATTTAAAGCCTATAGGATAGCAATAGTCAGCCATTAACTCTATATGCCGCGTTCTTTTAACGTAATGGGAATGGAAGTAAGGGTTATTTGATTTTGATAATTATCATTATCGTGTTTTATAAGAAGTTAAAGAGAAAGGATTAACTTTCTAAAGTAATGTTATAACCCTGATTTATTAATGAAAATTTCACGTTAATTTTTTTTTAATTTATCTCTAATCCGAACAAAATTTTAGAAGAACTTTCAGTGCCAAAAAATTTATGCGGGGTAATTTTTCTTTCTTTTTATATATTTTCTTCCCCGTTAGAACCAGATTCACCAACCAGTTCTTTGTTCTACAAATTCTTTAAGCAAAATTAAAAGGTACTCCCTCTGTCCTAAAATTATTGTCCTGTTTGAAATTTTACTTTTAGTACAAATTGAACTAAAAATGAAAATCCAAGGTGGACAATAATTATGGGACCGAGGGAGTATAAAATTTCGCCCATCTATGTTTTTAATTAATTCTTAAAGTGGGATAAACGTAAAAACCCAAGTTTTCTCATTACAGAGTTACAGAGGACTTAAAAATTTATTTTATATGCTTCCAAATAATAATTTACCTTATTATATAGTTTTAATTAAGTAAATTTATTTTTTAGAATAAAAAGAATAGTCTTTACCAATGTGTCCAGCGATTAACGTTCAAATTAATTGATAGAACTTAAGACTTAAGAGCCATTCGCAGTTACTGCCAGTGAGTGCTGATGATTGATGATCAATTTTTCTTTGGCACTAAAATTGTGGTTTCAATTAATGAGATGGGCGCATCGCAATATCAATTTTCTTCATTTCTTTTTTTTTTTTTGTTTTTGTTTTTTTCCCCTTTTGCAAACAGAGACAATACTCTAATTAGGTAACTACGTGTTTTCTTCATTTCTAATGTTCACAATATATTTTCAAAATTGAGATCCTACTAAAATTTTCACTTTATAGTAAGCAATCCTATAGGATTTGCTCAACAATATCCAACAACCCAACAAATCAGAATTCTAATTATTAATAAATAATCACTTTGGAATTACCACTGATTAGTTTTTAATAATTAACCATATTTTACAAATTTAACTAACCCACCAATCATAATATTATATTTTGTAAATCTTCCCATTGAATGAAAACTTCACTATAAATAAGCTACAAACCTCCATATACTTGGTCATCACCACCAGCAAATTAAAACAAGAAAAAGAAGAATTCCTTGCGATACTAAAGCTTCCAAGATGGCAAAGTTCTTCATTGTGTTCATAGCTCTTATTGCTCTCACTCTTGCTCCTGGTAGAGTGCAACATTCCCTTTTGCATGAATGATTTGATGGTTTATCAAGAAATTTAAAAAATAATGATTAATTGTTTCAACTAATATTGTTTGTTCTCTTATTGTTCTTTTTTTTTAATTCCTTTTGGTTATGGACTTATGGCAGTGGAAAAGATGGTTCTCTTAGTCCAAGCTGACAATATTTGCCAGAAAAATGTTCTAGGAGAATGTGATGTTACAACTCCGGCCAACTGTTTGAATACTTGTTTACCTCAAGTTCCATCAGGAAGCCTTCAGACTTTCAAATGTGAAGTTAAGGGTGATCAGAGGAATTGTGTTTGCCTTTATCACTGTTAGAGAAAACAAAAAATACATTCAATATTGTAAACTCTCACGATGAATAATCTTGAATAAATGAAGCCACACTTTTACTAAATATATGATAAATCAGATTTTATTGAGTATTTTATATTCCAAGCCAAGTTTTAAATCCTGTTATCAATGTTATACAACAACATATCCTATATAACCTTATCATGCTCAATTAGATATAGAACAGATTAACATAATGATGATTTCCAAGTTAATTGCCGGATTACTGTGGAGATCGACAAAATTTAGGATCACTGTTAATAAATAAAATAACAAACAACTCCATCTACTCATATTCTGGAATTCTCATCCATATTTTCATTCAGAATATAAAATCTCTTAAAAAACTAAGCATTAAAAAAATTGATATTCTCTATAAACATCATTGATTTTACGGTTAAAATTTGATATTGTACTTTTTTTTATCTAGCAATTACGATAAAGTTGATAAATAAATTTTATATGCACCCAACACTACTTATATTTGGGCCTTCATGCATCCCAAATACTCTTATCAACTACAAATCATAATTACAAAAATGAATTGTGTTTATAGACAGTGAAAACTCAAAAAGTATTATTTATTTAATATTGGCAGCATCATTCATCATAGTAATAGAATGTGTTTAGGCCAGCATCATTTATCTTAAATAAAATATTTACATAACATACCTATAGAATTTATTTCGCTGTTTTTTAAATTCGTTTAGTAATATTTAATGCTTAAAAATTCATTTAGTCTGAATTTTTTCTTGGATTACTTATATTCAGCATTACTGGAAAAAAAGATGCTTAGTGTTTCATTAAACATTATTTCATTAAATATTTTTTAGTTTCAACGTGTTTATAAAAGAACCTCTATTATACAAACATATAATAATTAAAAAGTTTATGAGAAAATGGATGGTATGGATAAAATTTCATTGATTTTTTTTTTATAATTTTTATTCGAGTAACTTTGGATTGATCACACCTTTTCTTATAAGTTTTTTTTTAATAATTTTTAATTACCTTATTTAATATAACTCATTTCAAAATCACGCTCAAATAAAAGAGAGATAAATTTACATAAATTTTTGGCCTTGTTGTTTTGACCAGAAAATAAGACAGGAAACAATAGTAGTTTTGGGTGTCAATTTGTGTTTTGATGCTATTACCAACATAAGTTTACAATTTCACCTAAAATAATTGGCAACAATTATATATTTTCAAATTCTTCGGCTATATTTGTATTGAAATAATATATTTTTATGTTTTGTTATTAATCTTACTAATGAGCAATGTCGCCGAAATTGATTGGAATAACTTTAAAATTTAACAATAACATTTAATTTAGTAATCACGCACTATTCGATATTTAGATATTGTACTTATTTTTCATTTCCTGCACTATAGAGCATTTTATCTTCTTCTTTTTTTCACTTAGGGTCTATTTGATAAAAGTTTATTAAGCAGTTACATAATAAGTAATAAATTAATTTTTATTGCTTATATTTTGTACTGCAGTTTTACCACCGCTTTTATCAAATATGTTGAAACTAAAAAACGCTTAATGAGATAATTTGAAGCAATGAGTGGTACTATCATATAAGCCCTTAATTTAGCACTAAACATCTTTTTCCACTGAAGCTTAATATAAGCAATCCAAGACAAAAACAATCAGAGTAAATGAATTTTTAAGCGTTGAATATTACTAAATGAATTGAAAACCAGGATAAATAAATTCCATAAGTATGTTATGTAAATATTTTTAGTAAGGTAAATGATGTGAGCCTAAACATTCTATTTTCAAGGTAAATGATGGTGACACTTGTCAATGGCCACATATTCTTTTTTTTTTTTTAACCAAAAAGGCGAAAGAGAAAAAGAAACAAGATGCCTTTCAACGGCGACGACGACGAACGAAGGGCATCTTCAGTCGTGCTTTATATATAAGAATGGATACATATGTAAACTTTCTTCCGTATACTTATTTTAATTAAATCTTGAAGTGGGGCAAAGGTAGAAAACTCAAGTTTTCTCATATACAGAGTTACAGAGGAGTTCACAATTTATTTTATGTATTTCCAAATAATAGTTTACCTTGTTATAGAGTTTTAATTAATTAAATTTATTTTTTAGAATAAAGAGAGTAATCTTTACCAATATGTTCAGCAATTAACGTACAAATTAATTGATAGAACTTAAGAGTCATTTACTGCTACTGCCAATGAGTGCTAATGATCGATGATCATTTATATTCTTTTCTTTTTTTTTTTATTTGAAGGGGGGTACAAAGGCTGATTTTTATTTCACATGAATGAGGGATGAGAGCTCAAAACTTTAATTCATCTTTAAGTATATTAAAGAATTTTGATTTTTATATTTCTGATACGAAAGAGTACCGGTAAATGGTAACACATATAAAACCCTAAGCCAACCCTTACAATTTTTCTTTGGTACTAAAATTGTGGTTTTAATTAATGAGATGGGCGCCATGCAATATCAAATTTCTTCATTTTTCCCCCTTTGCAAAAAGAGACAACACTCTCCTGAATAATAAGGTAACTACGTATTTTCTTCATTTCTAATGTTCACAATATATTTTCAAAATTGAGATCCTACTAAAATTTTCACTCTATGGTAAGCGTTCCTATAAGATTTGCTCAACAATGTCCACCAACCAACAAATCAATATTCTAATCATCTATATATAATGACTTTGGAATTACCACTGATTAGTTTTTAACAATTAACTATATTTTACAAATTTAACCAACCCACCAATCATAATATTACATTTTTAAAATCTTCCCACTGAATGAAAATTTAAGTATAAATAAGCTACAAACCTCCATATATTTGGTCATCACCACGAACAAATTAAAACAAGAAAAAGAAGAACTCCTCGCGATACTATAGCTTCTAAGATGGCAAAGTTTTTCATTGTCTTCATAGCTCTTGCTCTCACTCTTGCTCCTGGTAGAGTGCAACATTCTTTTTGCATTAATGATTTGATGATTTATCAATAAATTTTAATGATTAATTGTTTC